TTTCCGTATAGATTCTTAAGGGGATCCTCTGCAAAAGCACTTGTGATCCTTGAGGTATCTCTATTTCAAAACTTTTTTTTTCATTTCCATTCACTCCTTCAACATATATTTATTGAGAGTAGTATCTAGCATATGTCAGGCACTGTTCTTGGCACTGCGAATACAAGGTAAGTATACATGGAGAATATATGGGAATACAGGGAGTTTATATTTTAGTGGAAGAAATGAGAAACAAAAAAAAAAAATGGTATCAGGAACTGCTAAGTGCTTTTCCTTAATGGAGGTTTATCATTACCATTACCCTAAGACCAATATTAAGTTTATACTTACAATCTTACATGATCAAGGTTAAAATTTCTCTTTGTTCCTAAATGGAACTAAAGACAGGAGAGGGAAATCTATGGGTACAGACATTTCCTGCGGGTTCTGACAACCACTGCAAGATGGGAAAGAAATATGTGTGAGAAAAAGATTTGCCGACCTGTGATAGATGAGGAAAACAATGGGCATGATATTTTTGAGGGGGAAGAGATGTTAAGTTGGGCAAAAGTCACCAAGTCTTGCCATCAGTCATGGAGAGCTTTGGCATGCTTGCAAGTGATTTGGAGGAGGAGGTAGTCTGCACTGACGTTTGAGACCAGTCTTGAACATCCTTGTTCTTCCTTTCCCTTCTCCTTTGTCCCTCTCTTCTCCTTTGTCCCTCCCTCCCTTCCTTCTTCCATCTTTCCTTTCCTTCCTTTAATCCCCTTTCCTTCCCTTCCCACTTCCCTCCCTCCCACTCTTCTTTTCTCCTTCCTTCCTTCCTTGAAGCAAACATGTACTGATAATTGCCAGACTGTTATACCAAGCATTAATTCCTGGTCCTCGAGGAGCATATAGCCTAGAATCGTGTTCTCAACTCTGGGATTAGTTATATCCAGGCGTGGTAATTTTAACTATTTAACAACCTGTGTAGCACAAGCCAACCAATGAGAATGTATGTCAGTCAAAATTTGAGTGTGGAATCCTGGAAGCCCCTTAATGTGCCAGTAGTTAACCTTGTAGTTGCTGGATAGTGGAGAGGTAGAAGGTCCTAACGGAGGTGCGGTAGTAGCCAGGACAATGGGTGGGCAAGACTACTTAGCAGGGAGTAGTTTCAGGGCAGTAGCTATTTACTAAGTGGTAGAAAAGTATTCGTTATTTTACCAATGACTATCATTTAACAATGATATGCCTGTATGGATGAATACCAACTAAATCCTTAGCTCCACCTACATCCAGTGCTTAAAGAGATTGGCTGTGGGATTATGTGATGGAGGAAACCTTTTTCTGGGTCTTGATCTTAGTCTTGAGAAAGATGATTGGCATCAATTGGTGATGAGGAAAAGGAGGGAAACAGCTTAAGTAAAGGTGGAAATTGATAAATCATATACAGCATGCCATTAAGAAACCAACCTATATGGAGGTGTGAGCAGCAAGAATGTATTGTAGTAGAATGGGAGGCAAATTTGGAAGAAAAGATTGTATACAGCAAGAGAGAAAAAGAGGTTGGTTGTGGTGTCAGTGGAGAACAGGGAAACATACTAGGGTTCGTTATTTATTTCTGATATAGCAGAAAAAGGGGGAGGGGGGCTTCTGTATGTCCTTGAGCAGGGAGTTGTATGATGAAAGGAACATATGAAAGGAAATATTCTGCTGGCTATATGAAGAAGAGACTGAAGAATGCTAAAGCCAGTTTAAGAAGTTACTTTGGCAATTCTGGTAGAGTTAATTATGGCATGGACAAGGATGGTGACTATGAAAGTGAAACAAAGGGTTCAATCTGACAGACATGGCAGGACCATGTGAGGAGTGGAGAGAGGGGAATCAACAAGAAACATAATATATATTATCCTAAATATGACAGCTGGCTTTCTAAATATCCAAAGAAAAATATAAGTCTATGATACTAACTCCTTTAAAATAATATATTTAACTATGTAATTATCCTATTTAATTTAAAAAATAAAGATTCTAACTTTTGAAGACAAGGCAGTATGAATTGATAGGCTTTTCACACTAAGAAAAATGCTGCTATATGATATTAATAAGGAAGAACATAGCATTAAGCTAAATTTTCTATTGTTGATTTATATTAGCATAGAGAACATATATGATGTTAAATCATTGAAATTTATGTGAAACCTAGCAGACCTCATTGTTCTGATGTTTATCTTACTTAGTAAAAGTTATTTCCAAATGAAACTTTTATCTTTTGAAGATGGGAAGAAATGCTTGATTTTTAACTAAGTTAATTTTAAGTTGACTCTTAAGATAACAGGAAAGCTTTAGGAGCCTAATTAAACCACTTATTTGCTCTAATTACTTTCGCTGGAGACTGCTAGGAAACAAAGGCAGCAAACAGACCTGTTCTGTGTGCAGCAGTCAGGCATTTGATGCTTGTTTTCTCCAGCAGAGGTTTTGAGTAACACAGAAGTAAAGAAGCTGAGAAGCAAAGCCATCATCTGCAAACAGTGGCTGCAGCCACAAATCACAGGGCAGCCCTTATTCCTGCATAGTGTAGAAAGCATCTTTCACTCTACGTGATTTATGTCCCAACACAGAGAAGCAATCGTCATCACTAACATGATTTTTTAATATCAAGGGTAGCACCACATTTTTATCAACATAATTGGACGTTAGCTCATGAAGCTTATAGAGTTAACACTTACAAGATAATTTATACATGGGGCAAGAATAATAGTTCTTTTATACCGGTTACTTTTCCTCTTAGGTTTTATTCTCTTGAATAATGTAATCCATATTTAATACAACAGCTTAATTTTTAAACTAAATAAATCCACACTTCAATTACCCATTTTTAGTACAAGTTGAGTTTAGAACATTCATGATCATGTATGTAAGAAAAGAAGCAGATGAATGTTTTGTTATCACTGACAAGTCAATTCAAACAACTGCTTTCTTAAAACAGGATTCACAGGAAATTCCTTTTAAAAGCACACATCATTAAAGGCATATATTTCTTCATTAGTTGGAATCGGTGTTAAAGATATTGTGGCTATTTATCCATTTACATTAGTTTATAGGTGTAAAATGCCAGTTACAATGCTTCTGTTTTTTATCCCTTGAGTTGAATTGGCAAACTGACACAAGAACTATTTTTTAAGTCTTATTATTTATTATCCATTGTTTTAAAAATCTGTATTTCAGACTCTTTGTGCAGATTCCAAACTTTACAGTTGTAATAAATGAATATGCAAGGCAACTTTAGCCTTCTGGGATAAACTGTCCTACAATAAAAACAAAAACCAAAAAAAAAAAATAATAATAATAAGAGACAGGAATCTATAACCAAAAGAGGCTAGAGCATTAAAGCCACCATCTGGTGAGTTCAAGCCAAATAAAAATTCTCTATATTTTGCCTAAATCATCTAGATATCTGTTTTACTTTGCCTATGAGAATCTGACCTAAACTAAATGACTATTCTATATCATTAAGTTGTCCAGGAAAATGAAAATTTAAATATATGTCCGACAAGCTCTAGCATCTGGTACAATTCAGTAATGCTGGTCTGCTCTACAGAGCTTCAGTGTTGAGATAACATTAGGACTGAGAAGGCTTGGTTGACCTATAGGAAGAAAATAATGTTCTAGTCAGACATTCTCCCTGTTTACAAGTACTCATGCTTGCCAGATTATCTTCCACTGTAGGAAACATACAAAGTAAAATTCCTCTGTGAAGCATCTCACTATAGCTCTAATTCCACTTTGCTGTAGCCAAATAATATACCCTTGGTACAAAATGATCAGCACTGTTCATCTTTCACTGTAATAGTTTAGAAATTATTTTCACACTTCTTTTTTTTAACACATTGATTAATGCTTGATATTTCCCCTTAAAATAGAAAATGTCTCATAAAGTATTATTTCAGAGTGATAAAATTTAACTAGTTTAGATGCTCTCTTATAATTTGTTGACAAGAGAAGAAACATTTCTCCTTTTAAAAGAGCATATAAGCTGAAATATATGAGATCTTTTAAAAGAAGTTTAAAAGTGACCATGGTGACATTTGTATCAACAGCTCCCTTTCAAACTGTGCTACAAACCACATTGTGCCAAATTTACATATCTTTCAAAACAGAAGAGAATCAGGTTAAATGTGATTTTTAAAGTCAACAGAGTAGGAAAAAAAAAACTTGCAACAAATACCACAGAGTTTTAATGTATTTATTATGTAAACAAGTTAAACATAAGAAGAAAATACTAAGAATACAATAGACAACACAAAGGACACATTATAGGAAATAATACAATGTCAGTAAATATATATAAATGTTTCATCTCACTAGTAAAAAAAAAAAAAAAAAAAGAAAAGCACATTGAAAGAATAGTGCAGGCCGGGCGCGGTGGCTCAGGCCTGTAATCCCAGCACTTTGGGAGGCTGAGGCAGGTGGATCACGAGGTCAGGAGTTCGAGACCAGTCTGGCCAACATGGTGAAAACCCTTCTCTACTAAAAATACAAAAAGTAGCTGAGCATGGTGGTGGGCACCTGTAATCCCAGCTACTTGGGAGGCTGAGGCAGGAGAATTGCTTGAACCCAGGAGGCCGAGGTTGCAGTGAGCTGAGATCATGCCATTGCACTTCAGCCTGGGTGATAGGATAAGACTCCATCTCAAAAAAAAAAAAAAAAAGAATAGTGGAATACCATTTCACCCATCTTATCTCTGATTTTTTAAAAATAAGAATGTCCAAAGTGACAATCAGTCTGGTGACAGTGTAAACTAATATGATATTTTTGAAAAATAATGTATTAAATATTCATATCTTTTAGCCTACTAATTCCAGTACTCAGTTTTTACCCAATGGGAATTTTAAAAGGCTGTAGATACAAGATATTCATTGACATGTTATTTATAATACTGAAAAAAATGAAAACAAATGCCCCAAAGTAGATGATTAATTACATTAATATACATTAATTGTGTTGGATAATATGTTGCTTTTAAATGATATTTAGGCTGATGCATAATAATATGGGAAAATATTGTATAATGTTAAGTGAAAAGAACAGGATGCAAAATTATATAAATTGTAAGCCTACTGCTCTTTGTAAAAACTCTATATGTACAGGAAAAAGGACATGAGGATTAAAAAATCTCCAGTATTTTCCCATTTGTTTTAATATTCATTTTGATATTTTCAATGTCATGTTATTACTCAAAGCACTTTCAAATGTGTTGCCTTATTTGTCACATTTCTCTTTAAAAAAAAAGAGAAGAACCTTGTGCTTGGAAAGACTTATAAAATATCCTAATGACTATCAAACAAAATCCCAAATGAGAGCATTTGTTATCATTTTGGTTATAAATGCAGGGAATCTTGTATGTATGTGACTACGTAGCTGAAATATGTAACAGTCACAGACAGGGCTCTCAGCATCCACTCTGGTTCTGCCTCTAGCTCCCTTCCGAAACCACGGCTGCTTCCGGCACCTGTGAATATATTGCACTTATAAACCATTGGCAGCAGAGGGAATGTTATTGAATGTTTGTAATATCTGGGGGACAACCAAAACCAATTTTTCTTTCTCTTAAATTATAGCATCAAAAAGGAGCCATTTATTCAAATACGTGTGTTCTGTTTCTAACAGAGAGCAAATTCTTAAGAGGGCAGAGATACGGTTTATTTTTATGATATACACATTGCCTAGTTTACTGTGGGATTTTATAAAATAGTACCCTTTGCCGTATCAACCCTAGAGCAAGGGTGAACTGACATTCCATTCTTTCAGAGAGAAATGCTGTTATTTCCTCCTGTCCCTCCATTCCTCTTTGCAAACGTGGTCACTCCTTTGATAATTCACGACCCATCTCCACCATTAAGAGTCTGAAATCCTAGTCAAGGAATAACTGGGGTGGTGGGGGAGAGAGGGAGAGGAGTCTAAAATCCTAGTCAAGAAATAACTGGGGTGGTGAGGGGGGGGGAGAGAGAGAGAGAGAGAGAGAGAGAAAGGGGGAGAGAGAGAGAGAGAGAGACTTCAGGAGGTTGCACTTACACTCTGGCAGTTTTTCCAGAAATTAGGGAGGCAGCAGCTCTTACTTTTGTGATGTCAACTTGTAGACTGAAATGCATCAAAGCTCCTCACCTTCTTCTTGTTGACGCGAGGGATGTGAAATGCGCTCTAGAATATGCATTCAGCGTGGTCCTTTGTTCTAGGTATGAGCTTTTCTTTTTCTAAAGTTTTTCGGTCTCGCTCAAGGAAAGGAAAGCAATATTTTGAGATTCTTTTAAAGGCACCTTCCAAAGCATTTCCCACAGAAAAATACCTCACAGCCCAACACTGGTTATTTCAGTAAGAATCGAGTCCAATCTTTTCCAATATGGCTGTATACATTGCAGGCCCCCAAATTTGTGCTTTCGTAGTCATCGTTAATCAAATAGGCAGAAACACTGTATTTAGGGAACCTGTGTTTCGTGGGCTAGAAGTGCATTCTGATTAATAAAGATCATGTTCATTTTGAATTCATCGTGGTTATTCGTGTGCCTTAGAGTCGCGGGCTTCGTCAGGGGTGGAGCGGGCTCGGGAGTGCCTGCAGCGCGGTGGAAAGCGGGTCTGAGCGCCCGGGTCATCAACCCGCTTTCAAGGGGTGCCGACACTTTTTCCCAAGAAGCTCGACCAGCCGCCGTGAGCGACTGGAAAGAATAAACCAGACTGTGACAGGAACAGAGAATTTATGTGATTGACAGGGAATACCAGGGCACCCGACTCCGTCCCGGGTCACCATGGCTCTGGGATTTGCACGAGTTTACCACCACCATTAACAGCTATTTGTGTAAGGTTGTTTACCGCCTGAGAGCGCCACAAGCCGACAGCGAAGCCACTTTGGGACCCCAGCCACGCCCCCTCTCCCCTCTCACCCCTCCCTCCCGCCAAACTAATGAATTCGGGACTGTCTTCTTGCCGGACCCTCCCATTGGCTCCTATTCCAGCCAATCAGAGCCTTGCAACAGTTTCACCTGGCTCCCGCTTCCCAAATAAACAAACCGTCCGGCGACTGTGCGGGCTCTGCACCCCGGCGCCGCCGGCACTGCTTGCGCTCCGCGCCCCCCTGCACCACCTCCCACCAATGGGGCCCCGACTGTGGCGCCCTCTCCCAGCCCTGATAGCCGGCCGCTTTCTCCTCTGCCCCTCCAGGCCTTCTCCCGCCCCCTCATGCCTTCCTCGACTCCCGGGTAGAATCTGTTTGGCCAGAGAGCCCCGCCTCCTCCTCTTAGTCCTCCCTTGGCCCACAGGCCTGGAGATTCACCGGGAGGGTGTTGGCACAGCTGGAGGTGGCTCCGCCTCCCAAGCCCGCCGCCTCCTCCCTTGCACACCTCTACTGGTGGCCGCTCGCGCCCCTCCATTGCGCCGGTAGCAGGATCCGCAGCGGCCGCCGCGTGAGGCTTCGGTCACGTGTTGTTTTGCCCGCTGTCGTGCGCTTAGAGTGGAGTGGGCGGGGGCGCGGGCCAAGGCAGGAGGGGGCTGGGGCGGGCAGACGGGGGTAGACAGCCTCTTCCCCCAACCCTCCCTTTCCTGAATTCCCCCTCCTCCTCGCTCACCTTAAAACCATCGTGCATCACCATGGCGAGTTGCTCCTTCACTCGCGACCAAGCGACAAGAAGACTAAGAGGTGCAGCAGCGGCAGCAGCGGCAGCTCTAGCAGCAGTGGTGACCACCCCGCTTCTTTCCTCGGGAACCCCGACCGCACTCATTGGGACCGGGTCGTCTTGTCCGGGAGCCATGTGGCTCTCCACGGCCACTGGCTCCCGGTCAGACTCCGAGTCCGAGGAGGAGGACCTCCCCGTCGGGGAGGAAGTCTGCAAACGCGGCTACCTGCGGAAACAGAAGCATGGGCACAGGCGCTACTTCGTGCTCAAACTCGAGACTGCTGACGCCCCAGCTCGCCTGGAATACTACGAAAATGCCAGGAAGTTCCGGCACAGTGTCCGCGCCGCGGCGGCTGCAGCAGCGGCGGCCGCCTCTGGCGCCGCGATCCCCCGGCTCATTCCACCGCGACGCGTGATCATCCTATACCAGTGCTTTTCCGTGAGCCAGAGAGCAGATGCAAGGTACCGACACCTCATTGCCCTTTTCACCCAGGACGAGTACTTCGCGATGGTGGCCGAGAACGAGTCGGAGCAGGAAAGCTGGTACTTGCTGCTCAGCCGCCTCATCCTCGAGAGCAAGCGCCGCCGCTGCGGCACGCTCCGCGCGCAGCCGGACGGAGAGCCGGCCGCGCTGGCGGCGGCAGCGGCGGCGGAGCCACCCTTCTATAAAGATGTGTGGCAGGTAATAGTCAAACCCAGGGGGCTGGGGCACAGAAAAGAGCTGAGCGGCGTGTTCCGGCTGTGTCTAACCGACGAGGAGGTTGTGTTTGTGAGACTGAACACCGAAGTGGCCAGCGTGGTCGTCCAGCTCCTGAGCATCCGTCGCTGTGGACACTCGGAGCAGTATTTCTTCTTGGAAGTAGGCAGGTCCACCGTCATCGGTCCGGGAGAGCTCTGGATGCAGGTCGATGACTGTGTGGTTGCCCAAAACATGCATGAGCTGTTTTTGGAGAAGATGAGAGCCTTATGTGCAGACGAATACAGAGCCCGCTGCCGCAGCTACAGCATCAGCATCGGCGCCCACCTGTTAACCCTGCTGTCCGCTAGGAGGCACCTGGGCTTGCTGCCGCTGGAGCCGGGAGGCTGGCTCAGAAGGTCCCGCTTTGAGCAGTGTTGCCACCTCAGGGCCATCGGCGACGGGGAAGACGAGATGCTTTTCACCAGGCGTTTCATAACACCCAGCGAGCCTGTGCCCCACTCCAGGCGAGGAAGACTGCACCTGCCCAGAGGGCACAGGTCAAGGAGAGCGAGTTCAGTGCCGGCCAGCTTTTTTCACCGCTTAGCACCCAGCCCAGCACGTCCCCCGCACCCTGCAGAAGCCCCGAACGATGGAGCTTGCCTGTCTTCTGAAGTGTCTGGCTCTGGCTCTGGCAACTCTGGGGAGGAAGGCAATCCCCAGGGCAAAGAAGATCAGGAAGGAAGCGGAGGCGACTACATGCCCATGAACAATTGGGGCTCAGGAAATGGCCGGGGCTCAGGAGGTGGTCAGGGCTCAAGTGGCCAAGGCTCCAGTAGCCATAGCTCGGGAGGAAACCAGTGCTCAGGCGAGGGACAGGGATCCCGAAGTGGTCAGGGCTCAAGTGGTGGCCAGGGCTCAAATGGCCAGGGCTCAGGAGGAAACCAGTGCTCTGGAGATGGCCACGGCACCGCAGGTGGGCAAGGTTCAGGTGGTGGCCAGAGACCTGGAGGTGGGCATGGCTCAGGTGGTGGCAAGAACTCTGGAGGGGGCAAAGGCTCAGGAAGTGGGAAAGGATCCGATGCTGATGGTGAACGTGGAAAATCTCTGAAGAAAAGATCCTATTTTGACAAATTAACTCAAAGCAAGCAACAGCAAATGCCACCACCTCCACCACCTCCTCCTCCGCCCCCACCAGCTGGAGCAACTGGTGGAAAAGGGAAGTCTGGGGGAAGATTCCGACTTTATTTTTGTGCTGACAGAGGAGCCACAAAAGAGCGCAAAGAAGCCAAAGAAGTGAAAGATGCAGAGATCCCAGAAGGTGCAGCTCGAGGTCCCCACAGAGCCAGAGCTTTTGATGAAGATGAGGATGACCCATACGTGCCAATGAGGCCAGGGGTGGCTGCCCCTCTTGTAAGCTCCAGTGATTATATGCCAATGGCTCCTCAAAATGTCTCTGCTTCAAAAAAGCGCCACTCTCGATCCCCTTTTGAAGATTCAAGAGGGTACATGATGATGTTTCCCAGAGTGAGCCCACCACCTGCTCCCAGTCCTCCAAAAGCACCTGATACTAATAAAGAGGATGACTCAAAGGACAATGACAGTGAGAGTGACTACATGTTTATGGCTCCTGGAGCCGGTGCAATTCCAAAAAACCCCAGAAATCCTCAGGGTGGCTCTTCCTCCAAAAGTTGGAGCTCCTACTTCTCTCTACCAAACCCTTTTCAGAGCTCACCTTTGGGACAGAGTGACAACAGTGAGTATGTGCCAATGTTACCTGGAAAGTTCCTGGGGAGGGGCCTAGACAAAGAAGTCTCCTATAACTGGGGCCCCAAAGATGCAGCTTCAAAGCCTTCAGGTGAGGGATCATTCTCAAAGCCTGGAGATGGGGGATCACCTTCAAAGCCTTGGGATGATGGGTCCCTAATGAATAAGGCTAAGAGACCTAACCGACTTTCTTTTATTACAAAAGGATATAAAATCAAGCCAAAACCACAAAAGCCCACACGTGAACAGAGAGAAGCTGACAGCTCTCCTGACTACGTCAACATCGACTTCGCTAAAAGAGAGAGCAATACACCAGCTCCCTCTACTCAAGGACTACCATGTTCGTGGGGCATAATTGCTGACCCCAGACAGTCAGCCTTTTCTAATTATGTGAACGTTGAGTTTGGAGTACTATTTCCAAATCCAGCAAACGACTTCTCCGATCTTTTCAGAGCTATACCACGTGCCAACCCCTTATCTCTGGACAGTGCTAGGTGGCCACTTCCTCCCCTTCCTCTGAGTGCTACAGGTAGCAATGCTAATGAGGAAGAGGGTGACTACATTGAAGTAATTTTCAACTCAGCAATGACACCAGTCATGCCTCTTGCTGACAGTGCCATTCGCTACGATGCTGAAACAGGTCGAATCTATGTGGTCGACCCATTTTCTGAGTGCTATATGGATATTTCTCTCTCCCCCAGCCGATGTTCTGAACCACCACCTGTAGCTAGGCTGCTGCAGGAGGAAGAGCAGGAGAGAAGACGCCCACAAAGTCGTTCTCAAAGTTTCTTTGCAGCAGCCAGAGCCGCTGTCTCTGCTTTTCCAACAGACAGTCTCGAGAGAGACCTTTCCCCATCCTCAGTCCCGGCGGTTACTTCGGCTGCAGAGCCGACTTTAGCGGTCAGCCAAGTTGTAGCTGGGGCCTCGGCTCTCGCCGTAGCCCCGGGCATCGGCGCAGCAGCCGCCGCTGCTGGATTTGACTCCGCCTCTGCCCGCTGGTTTCAACCTGTTGCTAATGCTGCTGATACCGAAGCAGTAAGGGGAGCCCAAGACGTTGCCGGTGGCTCGAACCCCGGAGCCCACAACCCATCTGCAAACCTTGCCAGAGGTGAGAACCAGGCTGGCGGGGCTGCCGCTGCAGCTGCCGCTCCCGAACCACCACCTCGCAGTCGCCGGGTGCCAAGACCCCCGGAGAGAGAAGATTCTGACGACGACGACGACACTTACGTGAGAATGGATTTTACCAGACCTGATAACCAGTTCGACTCTCCCAAAAGAGGTCGGTAATTTTAAAATTAATTTCCCTAAAGAGAATGGTCATTGTCTAATGATTCGATGTGCTACAGTCTACAGTGTTAGGGATAATATTTCATTAACTGGTGCTATTCGACATGGAGGATAGAATTCAGTTTTAATTATTCACACAATGCCTTTTTGATCTTTGCAAAAATTTGTTTTTATCTAATCAATTTCTTTACCTGGACAGAACTGATTATCATTTAAACATTGGTTCTACTTTTTTAGGAGTAGTTAAAACGCAGACATATAACATAAGGATACTTTCAAACATCCTTCCTCATCATTTAATGATAATGTAAAGCAGGTGTCGTAAATTGGGTTCCACCAACTAATTTTCAAATCAACAATTAAAAGTTGCTCTTCTGCAAATGCCCATATTTAAGTGTGGGAATTTAATAAGAGCACAGACTATTAATCAACTATTTGTGTTTGGGGAGGATATTTTTCTCCTCCGAAAGTTACTTTTTAAAGAGCAGTCATTGTTATGCTAGTTTGTTGTGATTTACCAAGAAAGTTAAATCTCAATTGTTAACGTGAATGTCTGGGGAGAACAAAACATAAACAATCCAAACCAAGAGGTGATTAAAAGAAGACAGTATTTGGCTCGGGAATATGTTTGTGTGTTGATTTTCTTTTTGTTTTTACACAGGATAAATTCCAGAAACCTTGAGTGTTCCTTTTCTCTGTCACTAGTAATGACAGGCAAGTCACATTTGCTGTGCCTCATTTTCTTCTTTTAACCCCCCACCCTTCCAAAAGAGGATGTGGTGACAACTTGACAAAGGATATGAATATTATTTCAAAGGCTTAAAAAGCAGTTAAAACTTTTAATTCGTGTATCTTATGGGAAATCAAGGAAAGCAAGATAAGGCTGGAGGAAGACCTGACTCCAGGGGCAGCTTACCCTGGAATGGTGGAAGTTTTTAAAGGGCTACTTTTCCAAAGGAAGAAGTAAGAAAGAGTAGGAGCTGTCAGACTTGGAAACAAGACTTAGAGTAATTTTACTGTGTACAATATTGTGCAGTGTTGTCATCAGTGTGTCTTGAAACATTTTCAAGAGATGATTGCAGAAGATGATGTCTCCATAGTCTCAACTGCCTTCTCTCTTTAGTAGAATATGCTTCTTTCCCAGTGAAGGGAAGGGATGGACCTCGGCAGTTTTCATTCCAGTAGTCAGTTTAGTGAAGATTTTTGCTTTGCTTGCTTTGTGGAATGCTTTTGTGATTGGATCTCTGCCCACTGTGCTTGATCAGGCAGAACAAGTCGGGGACTGATCACAACAGTCACCTAACAAGCTCCCTATTTAATGCAGGTGTAGCCCCCCCACATCCCCTTTCTCTCCTTGCTATAGAAAACTTGCCATACAAAAACTCACATTTGCAGCAGGGACACATTAAAGAGTGATCATTAAAACAACAAAAGGATGCTTTGGCTTGCCAAAAGATTCAATTCAGACCTCTTTTAAACTGTGAGTTCCCTCCCCAACACACACACATACACACACACACAAACACACATGATCACCACTGCTACCATAATCATACATTTAAAATATATAATTTCATTTCCAAGACTTTAATCCATAATAAGATTTTCAAGAATAGATCTACTTTATTCTGCAGAATATACCTGAAAATTGATCTCAAGCTATTGTTCGAGTCTAACTATTGAAGACACTATTTATACTTTTGATGTAGATGATACATAGTTGCCTGTGTCCCTGTAGTACTTTCAAAAGGACCAGTTTTCATAGAGGTCTAAGAAGTTTAGGATTTAAAATAGTGAAATCTTACTGTTCCTCGAATAAATTCTGACTTCCAAGGAATACCTAGACACCATGATCATTATTTTAGCATAAATTACTGATTTATGACTTTGTAGCTATTTTGGGGATTTAACGTTCTGTAAATGCATTGTTTATTGAGGAAATTCCTAGCTTTATTGAGTGACTACAGCAAGGAAGTTCTATCTCACAGGGATGCAGGTACTTAGGTTGAAATAAGAGAATCAACGTGGAAGCACTTTGGAATGTTAAAGCACTTTGCAAATGTAAGATATTTTTAGTGTCATTGGGTTAATACTGAAGTGAAATTTCGGCAGTTTAAACTGATTTAGTTTCTTGCAAAATAATTAGTCTTGAGAGTGATTCCTGCACATAATTTGCTGAAATACATGAAAGGAATAGTGGGGGTTGGGGGTGGTGGTGGTGGTGGTGGTAGTGGTGTTGATGGTGGTGAAACAAACCATTGTAGGAAATGACTTTGGTTACCATTTTAATGTAAATTGTATGGTAGAATGTTGTCTGTGAAGTGTTAAGAACAAGCTGAATGATTCTGATCCTTTTTTTAAATCATAAAGCTGTAGAATAATTTTCACTCATTTCTGATCTCTATTTTCCTATCTAACATTAAAACAAAAACAATCGTGTTAGGAAACAAAAACATAACGCTTTGACAGAGGAACAAATACCGTCTTTGTTAGAAGTTATGTATTTCAAAAAGTCATTTTAATTGATGGCAAGTGCTTAGAATAGTGCCTGGCATACAGTAAGTACTATACATGAATTATTTTATAGCTATTGCCATTGTTATTGTTGCTACTATTATTATTACATTTAGAAAAACAAACCTAAATTAAGATTCTCCATCTGAAAAGCTCACTTTTCAGTTAGTCTTTACTTGCATTTAAAATACTTTACATTATTGTTCAGAGTTGGGATCTTTATAGATTACCATTTAAGTGAGACTATAAATCTGTGAGACAGCTGTTCTCATGTAACACAAATTTAGTATATAATTCCATTTACCTACAGTCACATTGCATATAAGTAAATGCCTTAAGGGAATTTACTTAAGTCGATTAGAAAGAAACACCCAGAAGTATAACCTTAGACATGACTGTATTAATAAATGAAATACTTTTTAATCATTTATTGAAGATGAAGTCTTCACATTTTAAACACATAGGTCATAGGCATTAGCATTTAGGAGAAGAATGTTGTTTCTTATGTAGTTTAGTTTGACTGTTAACCTATGTATGACTGTTTGCTTCTTTTTCTACCTTACCTGATAGAGAATTCATAGTTCAAAATGACTTGAGGTGAACATTTTCCCGGTTTTTTATTCAAGAGTTGGGAGGATATAAAAGGGCAGCTCTAGGAGGGGTGAGAGAACCGGTCAGCTAAGTTAGTAATGTTATGATGGGCACTTGGTATTAAAAAGCAAAAAAAAAAAAACTTTAGTAATTAATTAATTTTTGCGTGTTAGACACTGTTATCACCGTGAAGCAATCTTATGCTTTTTTTGAGTGTACTACTGCCAAACTTGTTGCTATCAGTTATAGGCACTAAGAGCACATTGTTTTTATTCCATTGAACTTAACTATAATTTATTGTAATAAAATTTCCATATAGCAGAAATTTCCCAGCTACCATTGATGGATCACTTATTTTAGGTAATATTCAACCCCTCAAAATTGGACAGTGTTTGGACTAATGAGGTATTTGACCTGTAACAATTAAAGAGGACCTCATTTAATTAAAGTTAACTAAAGTTGTTCACAATCATTATTCATTTGCATTCATTCTAAGAGTGATGTTTTCAGGGTAAAAATTTCAACTACTAGCAAAATACCTACTTTAAACAAGCACCAGAACTTTAATTAAGCACACCAGAATATCATACATGTATAAAAATTCAAACAAGATCTCTTACTTTCTTTTTCTCTCCCTAATCCCCTGTTTTGGGAACAAACTCAGGCTTCTCAGAGTGACAAAAAAAAATTTCCTGTGGGAATAGATGTGGCTGACGAGTGTAGGGAGAACTAAGAAATAGTTTATGTGATTTAAAAGGGTTTATTATTAAATTGTCAAATTGTTGATTGAGGAAATGCTTTCCAGTTGCAGATTGCCTTATAGTTTGCAAAGCACATTCACATTCATTATTTTACTGATGGACGGTAAGTACTGGAAATGAAGCCCATGTTGAGAATTTTCCTGAGATCAAAAAGGTAAGTGGCAGAGCTGAAAATCTAACTCATACATCTGATTTCAAGTCCAGTGCTCCACCCAACATATGACACTTCCCTTTAATCAGGTGTGTAGTCTGTTATTTTCCCATTGGTGACAGATTATTACATGGGTAATGATTAGGAAAAAATTACAAGTTTGCTTTCACTTGATAGTAGCAAATTTTGTTGAAAGTAATTCATTCAGAGCATTATAACCGTGGACTACCTTCCAGGACTTGGGTAATTTTATTACATTGAACTGTTTGCCCTGGCTTTTAGAATAAAAGAATTTGACTTGTGCTGGAATTGAATGTTTTAAATCTGATCTGGGGAGGAGTTGGTTAATCTTTACTGCCCAAACACAAATAGTGTGTGTATCTATTTAGATCCCACAGAAACATGGAAAGGAAAGAAAGTAAATTGAGGGTGCATTCAGTAAATTTCCATTAATGGTCATTTCTTTAGAAGTTAGATTTCTTTGATTTTCCTAATAATTCATTGACATTTGGGAGTTATAGCAAAAAGTCTTTTCATTTAATTTCTTCCTTCATTATAAAGTTTGGTATTCTAATCTAAACCAGCACAGTAGGCAAAACAGGATAAAGTAAGACAGGTGGAAGAATAAGCAGTGTAGCAATAGACGTTCTTCATTTGTTTAAAAAGTAAACTTGCTTTTGGCAGTCAGGCAAGTAGATTTTAGAAGCCTTGAAAATCAAACTCTCTCCTTGGGACATAAAAATCCCTGTTTACAATTAAGTTCATTTTGATTTAGCACCTTTTTTAAGGCTTTAAGATTATGTAAAAATAGCCCAGACGTTTTATTGGCAGTATTGGAAAATAGCTTTTGTAAAATGCTTAATTAAAACCTTCAGTATATTTTCTCTAAGAGGTGCTGCTAGACTCTTAGATAGTGAGGATCGTTTACTAGAAAATGTTGCTTGGTCTTGAATGAGAAATGAGAAATTTAAAACACTGCTTTT